CTGGGTGATTTCTCCAGACTTGCAACTGCTCAGGTGTGAGGTTCCCATCCCCTGGCCCTGGGCAGCTTCAGCTACGTGTCTCCTCCCTCTAGGATCTGAGAGAAACGTGTCAGCTATCCTTTCTGTATCCTCTACGGTTTCTTCTCTTTCCCCTGAGTTTAATGTCTTGTGATTCATCTTTATTCACTATTTATCTTGTTTATCCTCTCTTCCTCCTCGTCCATCAGCTCCTAAGTTATTTTAACACTTGTCTTTACTTCAACATAAAGATAAATGTGCTTTTAAAATCCTCACAGTTATATCATGTTACTTTGTTTAACCCAGTAAATCCCACTTCAATGCAACTGAACTGGTTGTGAGTGTGGGGGCTTGCACATGATCCCAGGGGTCCCCAGGCCCAACTAGAGCAGCCCCTCTGCTTGGGGTTTCAAGTACCAGAGCCACCATTAGCCCTAGGAGCCAGGAAGGATCAGGAGAATCCTCCACTTTTCCCTCCATGGTCAAAGTTCATTGCCTCCATTCTTGCTTTTGGTATCATACTTCTTTGTTTTGAGGAATCCTGCTGTAATTATTCATTTAAAGACATAACCTGTACATGGCTGTATATTAAAATAAATTGGGAAATAAAACAAGACAGCCATGAGAGGTGATCATTACTGAAGCTTGATGATGCCTATATGGGAATTCACTTTACTGCTGTTCATTCAATAAGAAAAATAAAAACCCAAGCTTATCTCAAGAGGTTGTTGAGCCAATGCAGCGATTCTCCATCTATATCATCTATATGCATAATATCTGTATGTATATGATCTATATCTATATCTAATTTATATCAGCATTGAAAACTATGCCTGGCACACCCTAAGCATCCAATAATTACAGTTATTATTACAGAGCTCACCATCAGAACAGTGCCTAGCACACAGGCACGCAGCAAAGTTTGGCTGAATGAGTGAATAAACATTCTGCTTTTGTGATTGCTTGCTTCCAATCTCACCTATTTCCCTGCACTCCCCAGATTAAAAAGTATGGCAGAGGGCAGGTTCTGGATTGAACCATGGGTTGAGAGTGAAAGGCAGTATTCTCGGGGGCAGGGAAAGGTTAAATTTCAAATCCCAACCAGTGGGGCTGGGTGAGCATGGTGGGAGTTTTGAAGTTGGGAGGGCTGGTGATGACAAGAGAGGGACATTTTAACTGACTCAGTCTGACCCTGGTTCTGCCCAGTGATGAGTTCCCCTTCCGGGCTGCCTTCCAAGGATATTTACGTAGAGCTTCCATCTCTGCATGCTCCAGTTGTACTCAGAAAAGTCATCCATCAACTTGCTGTGTTAGGCCTGAGTAGATGTTATGGATCCAAAGCTTCAAAGCAGCAACACAAAAACACTGTCCCTTGCTTATCTTCAAAGGTTATTAAACGTCTCTCACGAGTCATTAACATTCAGTAGATGTTCCTTGTAGCTTGAAAGTGCAATACAAATGGAAAACTGTCTGTGCTTTTGTCTAGTGGTGGTTTGACTTCAGACAATTCCCGCAGAGTTTCTGGGCCCCCGTTTCCTCTGTGGTTCTCTAGTAATAATTATAGTGGACCAACTCAGCTGGGGCTAAAACTTCTCTGGGGAGAGAATAAGAAAGAAATCAAAAACAAAAAGAAAGCCACAGAATTTCCTGAATTCTAGGTTCAAAATTCAAAGAAGGCTTTATTCTAAAATATCAGGAGGGCCCATAAAAACTGTGGAGCAGGAGAATAAGTTTAAAGTAGTGTTAGAGGAATTACCTGGTGGATAGAAAGGACTGGAGAGAAAAGAATCTGGAGGAAAAGCAACGAGGACAGACGCTGGCACCAGTCCTGAGCCTTCTAGAGGGAACAGACAGGAAGGGACCCGTCTAGTTTCCTCTGAAGAAACTGAGAGGCCGGGGCTGAGTGTAAATCAGGCATCAAGGGGAAAGGCGGAAATGACTTTTTTATTTTTAGTACTGCGATGTTCTGAGTCAAAGATGACTCAGGCTTTGGGCCGGGGCAGCTGAACGATGGTGGTGTCTGTCGTAAACAGAGGGGGAGCAGCTTAGCAGAGGTGTCGAGGCGTTGGAAGGGTCGAGTTGGGCATCTGTCAAGACACTAAGTGGACACATAAAGCACGCAATTTCTTCTATGAGGAGCGAATACTGAGCTCAGAAAGGATTTCAGGGCCCTCACACTCCCAAACTCTCTTCAAAGCGAAGAAGCCAATGTCCTCGGGGGTAGGGTCAGGGTGCTGTGATGGTCATTCCGGGGTTTGCCCAAGGTTGAGGTCAGAGTTGTGTTTGATGGTAGGGAGAGCAACATATATCACTTTCATGAAGTCAGGATTGAGCCGGGCGAGGTGGTGCACGCCTTTAATCCCAGCACTTGGGAGGCTGAAATAGGAGGATCACTGTGAGTTTAAGGCCTACATAGGCTTCATAGTGAGTTCAAGGTCAACCTGAACTGCTAAGTAAGACCCTGTCTCAAAGGCAAAAAAAACAAGAAAAGAAAGAAAGCCAGGCTTAAAACAGCCAGGCGTGGAAGCCCATGCCTACAATTTCAGCTACTCAGGGGACTAAGATTTGAAGACGGCTTGTTCCAGGCCAGCCTGGGAAACGTAGTAAGCCCTGCTCTCAAAGACAAAATAAGAACAGTTGAAAGAGAATATCAGAGTAGAGGCCACTCATCAAGGAAGTCAAGGGCTGGGGGAAATTCAGCCTTTAGGGAAAACTTATGTTTGCATGTAATATCTTTTTTTATACAAGCATGACTTCCTTCCATAGAGATTTTAACACATCGTAATGGAACACTAGCAAGTAAAAACTTGCTACAAAATGGATAAATGCAGGGGCTGGGGAATTAGCTCAGCGGCACAGCACCTGCCAGGCAAGCACAAGGTCGTGAGTTCAATCCCCGGTACCAGAAAAAAACCAAAACAAAAAAAAAAAAGATAAATGCAGATTGTTCTGGACACTTATGAACAGAGTAATTGCTCCTTTAGAGCTAAGCCTGACCTTTCCCTGCTTTTGTCTACTCCAGTAAGATCAAGGAGCTTCTCTTTCCTGCTTCCAGTGACTCATGCTGTAGCAGACACAGAGAAAGAGAAGCTCTCACTTTTAAGGACCTTCCTGTCTCATCATAGAAGCCTGACATAGACAAAAAGATGCGTTATGTACGTGTACCGAGTTCTCATGGGGAATGTAATCATTATGTACTGCGACCGTGTACTAATAAAAAAAATTGGAAACAATAAGCTATCGGGGCAATTGCAAGGCATCACAGGTACTAAAAGACCATATGGGGACCAGGGTTCAAGGAGACAGAACTGGAAGCGAGTCTGAAAGCCTTAGCAGCAAGGGCACGGCACCCCCCTTAGGCAACCCCAGTCCACCGGGGACATAGAAGAAAATCTCCGTGCACTGTCTGTAAGTTTTCCACATCTCTCTTATACTTGATAACTTCTTGTTTTTATTAGACCAAATAGGCCTGGGTCTCAAAGGCTTCCGCAGGCCATGGCATCTAGTTGGAATTTTAAACACGTGTGTCCTCACTGTATTTATTCCTAGAATTAGTTTACGAGGGAAATTGGCTTCCATGTAAGGTAATGATCTAGCATTTCTGATGGGGAGCAAAATAACACGTGAGTGGGTTTAACGGTGCTTGAAAATAAGAAGATATTATCAGTTAAGAAACACAGGGTGGTGCCCCAAAGCAGAAGAACAGAGACAGGGAAAGGAGGCTGGGTCAGCTTGACCTCAATTAGAAACAGTGTCATATGACATCATTTTCATCAAGGAAGTGAAGCAAGGAACACCGAGGAAGACGCATGTGTCAGACCCCCCTGGGGACACTCTCACTGGGAACCTGGTGGGGTGAAGAGAGAATGTAAAAGAAAGGGAATGGCAAACCTTAGTGGGAAACGTGTGGCTTCTCCAGATGTGGCTCTCTCACACTGGCTGTGACAGTGTAGAAGATTCAGCCTTGTGGGGGGAGCAGTTCTCAGAGTGTCACCTTCTCCTTTTCCAGCATTATCATAGCCAGAAAAGCCCCAGGCTCTGCCCTGGTGGTTAGACCCGGGTGACGTGATTGCAGCCTGCTTCTGAAGTTGTTCTTTCTGCTTTTGTTGCAGGAGAGTGATCAACAAGGCCTCGGTTTCCTTTTAAAAGCACATTTATTAGTTTCAAAATACAGTTGATTTAAAGAAGAGAAGAATCCAGGGGAGAAAGTAGTGAAGGCGCATGTCAAACCTCTGTTCCTCCCAAACGTTTTCTGCTCATGCCACCCCTTCTCCACCCTCCTCTGTCCTGCTGGATGCACCAGGGCTGTGGGGTCACACTGAGGGGCTTCTGTTCTCTGGCTTCTGGCTGGCATCACCCAGCGGGGAGCACCAGCAGGAGAGCGAGGGAGGGAGGAGAGCGAGGTCTGAGCATCTGCATCCCTGGCTCCCCGCAGGACCGAAGGGCTGGCTGCGACCCCAGCTACAGGACCACAACTGCCCACAACACGCCCAGGCCTAGGTGCTCCCTCCCCTCTTGTGCCAGGCCTAGGTGAATGGCAGCCCTTACTGCCACTTGTCCCGGGAACTGCACTGTCCCTTGAGTCTCCCCACAGAGGACTATCAAGAAAAGGGTTCTCTTGTTAAATCCTCCTCAAGTTGCCCAGCAGCTGGAGTTTTGTTCTGTTTTGCTTCCCCCACCCCCAGAACATGGCCAGTGCAAAGTCATTTATGAAGATCAAAGTTAGGGAAAGACTGACTCAAAGAAAATCCCGAGAGGTCCCTGAGACCCTCCAAAACTTCTAGATAAACAGAGGAGGTGACGGTAAGGGATGATGACGGAGCCATCTTCTCCTACCTCCTTCCATCCCCTCTCTGGTTCCAAGAATTTTTTTCAATTGCTATTTTGAAACAGAAAATTCAGTATCTGCTGTTTTCTCCTATCCCGTAACCTATAAATCGTTTTTCAGTGTACCGGAATTCTATTCCAATAAAACAAATGACTCAGATATTCCGTAGTGTTTTATTTTTTAACAATCTATTTTTTTTTTTCTCTGTACATGTTTCCACTGAATCCTAAGTACAGATGCCAAGGCATAAGGCAATTGCAGTTACATAGGAATAGGGAAGTGAAAATAATATCTACGTAAAGCTTTTCAGATCGGCAGTGGAGAGATCAAATTCTATCAAGTGAATCATCTTTTCCTTCCATGGAACTAGTTTTGAGAAAAATAACAAGGAATTTGAACTTCTTCCTTTGTAGTAATGGTCCGAAATAACTTGTACATGCACACACACACACACACACACACACACACACCCCTCAGAAAAATCCAGGGAGATGTGTCTTGCCCGGCCTTATGTCATACACAGGATATTTTCCAGTCATGAACTACAGACTTGCTCTCTTGTAAGTTCACTGGCTCAGGTAAGCAGACCGTATTTTTACTGCAAGAAAAGAGCAATAAGATGCAGGTTCTTGGGTGGTCAGGAGAGAAGGCTAGAAACTGTGTGGCATTGTGATCCCATGAAGCCTAATGAAGAGTCTACACTCATCTACAGTAGAGTTTATTCCTGTCCTCTAAGTGTCAGAAGGGCAAGACTGAAAATATCCTTGCCTGTTAGAGGCAAGGGGGAGAGGACCTAGATTCTAGGCCCATCCCCATGAATGTGACCAGTGACACAGCTGAAATGGAGGCTAAGAAAGAGGAGCTATGCAATGAGAAGGTGTTATTCCAATAAACTCTCACACAGAAACCAAAAATAGAGGGCAGATAGAAAGGAGTTTCTTATACTGAAGTTGGGGAGGGGAGTTAAAGCCCATCCTCTGTCTTTCTAACATCCCCAGCCCAAGATGGTCCCACAGGAGGTGCAAGAAAACCCTGTTTTTGTCATCTCGGCTTCTAAGATGGGAATTACTGTGACAGGATTGAACTTCATTGAGCAAGGTCAGGGCTGGGGGTGGTGCCGCGTGTGTGCCTGGGGAAGAGGTGGTATGGCTTACTTGTCGTTGACAGGCAGAGGGGCTGTACAGAACTTCCCGACAATGGTAGTCGTGTCTCTTCTCCAAACTTGACTGGAAGCCTGAAGCTTGAATTTCACTTGGTTTATCTGGCATGGCGGGTTGGGGTGGGCGATGATTCCTTTTCCCTGGAGCTGTTGTCTAGCTCTGAAGGGAAAGAGAAAAGGAAAGTCAGGGGCACTTTCTGTTTTGCTTTCCTTTAGCTCTGGCCGTGCTCTGCCACTAGTATCAGCTGGCTTCCGTGTGCTGCCAGCTGGCTCCTGGAAGGTGGGGGCCGTGGTGCTTTGTATTTCCCTCTCTCACCCCTCTGTGCACGTGCCCCAGTTGACCCAGGAAAACCTCACTGAATTTTGAGAGTGAACAATTTGGACACTGCAGCTAGAATAGTGGCTCTTAAATTTCAGGTCTGGAAAAGATGCCCCCCCATCTTGGATTCCTGGGTGGAGGACATATGCACATTTAGATCCAAGTTTCTGGAACAGAGGCTCTTTTTAGGGCCTCTCAGTTCAAAGAATTTAATGTGGGGCTGGTCTGCTTTAGGGTAGGTATGAAAGTGCATAGAAAAAACAATAACAACGAGATAAATCTTGAAATCTGATGGAGCTGGGGTGGAACCCAGCTTTTGACTCTTCCCAGCTGAGTGGCTTTGGGTAAGTCCTCTAGTTTAAGGTGGCCATGGAATCACATAGCCCTAGGTATATGGAAATGTCAGCTTCCCCACATTCTGCTATGATCTTGATCTTGGCCCATAGGATTTTTGGTACCTATGGACTTCAGCCCAGTGGGCCCCAAGTGAAAACAGAATCCAGGTCTCTCTTAGCCCATGCTCTTGGCCTTGGCCTCAGTTTCACCACTACTGTGCAACATTCGGGTCCCACTGTAGACTGACCCAAAAATGAGCAAGGAGACTTGGATCAAAGTGGGGCAAAAAAGCGGGAGAATATGGGCTGACCAGTCTAGTCCGGTGCTTCAGAAAGGGTGGTAGGGCATGCTTGGGGACTAACAAAGGGAAGAAATGGCGGGATCCAAGTGTGAGGGAACAGGCCCGTTTTGACAGTGACCCATCTGGGGACAAGGGCAGGGTCGGGTAGCATCCTGCACTGCACAGGAGGAAGGAGCTTGCCTATGGGCCCTGGGCTGTCCACTGCCGAGACCCTTCCTGTTTCTCCCTGGGTCCTGAGAAAGAGGGAGACGAGGGGAGTGCTATGGCCTCCCCACCACCACACCGCAGGAAGGGGGAGCCCTCCTCAACATCTCGGTTTCTCTTTCCTTTCTGGCTTTTACAGAGTGATGACATTTCCCTTGGTGTTAGGCACTCAGTTTGTCTTTTCCTTTGGTGGGAAGATCTTGCATAACTGTTTAAAAGCTGTTCCTTCCCACTGTGACCCAGAAGTGTTTTGAAATATGGTAGAGAAAAAAATAAGATTGTTCTCTTTAGGAAACTGCTTAGAAGGGCTTATAAAACACAAAGAATATAAAAAATGCTTTGTGGGGATGGTTTGGGGATTTGGCCCAGGTAATACCTCCAATTAGAAGAAAATGCTGCCGTTCATGGTGGGGCACACCTGTAACCCCAGCATTCAGAAGGCGGAGGTGGGAGAACTGTTACAAGTTCGAGGCCAGCCTGCGCTCCCTAGTGAGACCATGTCCCAAGAAACAAAGAGAATGAAAGGAAATGTTGGGGTTGCACAAAGTTACAGAAAGTGGGAGAAATACCACACTTTGCCCCCAGCATCCCTCTCCCTGTTTTCTGATCTTCAACATCAAGAAATCAAGGAATTGAAAGTAAAAGTTAAGTGTCCTGGTGGCTTCAAGAGTCACGTAAATGCCTCTGGGGAGAGCGGCAGCCATGGGGGGTGGGGTGTCCTCTAGAATCACTCAGGGACCCTTTGCAGTTGGTCTGGGCTGGGTGCTTGGTGTCAGTATCTGTCAAGTTCTCCAGGTGATTCGAATATGCAGCCAGAGTTGTGTGTCACTGTCACAACTCCTGCCATTGCCACTGTTCTATAAAGGATGAAGAGGAGATGAAAACACCCTGCTAGAAGTAATGTAGCCAGGCGTGGTGGCACATGTCTGTAATCCCAACACTTGAGAGGCTGAGGCAGGAGGATTGTGACAAGTTCGAGACCAGCCTGGGCTACAAAATGAGTTCAAGGCCAGCCTGAACTGCATAGTGAAACCCTGTCTCAAAAAAACAAAAACAAAACAAACAAACAAAAAGAAAACCTAGAAGTAATGTAACCTTGAACGTGTCTAACAGGAAGTACTAGCATTACCGATTCCCCAGTGGAATCCAAAAGGCCCTACAGGCACCTGCAGATCTGAGCGCCAGTTCTGACCGCTGTGAGTCCTGACTGCTGTACCCAGCAGTGTGATTTTGGGCAACTCCACAGGAGCCCTGGGTGTCTGGCAGCCCAGAAGAAGGGCACCTATCTTCTCTCACCACATAGCTCAGAAATGTTTCCACACCCCAGGCTGACTTGATTATTTTGTTTGAAATTTGCAGCAACTCTCTAAAACTGCTCCCAGGACAAAACCCCTCACCTTAGCCTGTCTTTCGCAGCTGACCAGGCTCTGCAGACCTTGACCCCGGAACTCGCCCTCCCTTGGCCCCTGCTCTCCACTGCAGGTGCCTGGTGCATCACATGCACGAACTTGAGACCCACGTCGCTCCAGGCTCTACTCAGCACGTTCCCAGAGCGGCTCAGCTCTGTCTTATACACTGTCACAGCGTTTATCACCGTTGACAAGTGTACACGGAGATGTGTGTGTGGCCTGGTCATTTCTCTCCTGCCAGCATGTGCCCGTGAGGGGTGACCCAGGCAGCACGCACAGGTGGGCGACTGCCTGGGAAGGGATTCTGGAGGCGCTGCATTGCCAGTGTGGTTTCAGCTCCTGCAGGGCAGCCTCCCCCATGAACCCAGCTGCAGGGCTCTGCCATCATCGCCCCTGGCTTTGTCCCTCTGGTGCCTCCGGTGCTTCTACTGTTCTGTCTCCACATCGCAGCTGCACCTCCACCTCCCCTCAGTTTCTTAGCTGTCCTGACGTCTGTCACCAGTGTGCTGCATGAAATCCCTTCCCTGGATCTACCTTGCAAGGGGTGTTTTCCTGATCAGACCCTGACCTAGAAGTAACATTAGCTGACCAGCCTGTTTCCTGCTAGCTTGTAACTCAGCCATTTGCTTCTAAAAGTGACATATACCCCTGCCATTGACTTGTAACCCCCAACCAGGCTGGTGGCTCCCTACACTTGAGGCTCTTTGCACTCTCACTTCAAGCCTGGCCCCGCCAAAGCGACATCTAACAAGTCTTCCCCAACAAGAGAAGGACACGGCCAGCCACAGTTTCAGGCACCAGCAGCACCCAGCACCCAGCCCTCCTGGCCACCGAGTCTGGCCCTTACCTTGTACTTATTCACTGATTGAGCCTCCACCTTGGATTCTGTTTTGCTCTGACTTCCTAGGAGTGGGGCTTCCCAGGCTCTGTTCAGCCTTCCCGGGGCCTTCTACCTGCTGGTATCCCTGATGTACCCTTGCCTAGGTTCCTGGCACTGTTCCCTACCTGGGACCTGACTGTTATCTCCTACCCACCTGTTGGAGGTGCTTGTTGTCTGCTGTCATGTCAGCACACTGTGCTTGGGCCCAGTACTGAGCTTAGACGTGGGACACTTGCCCGGTGTGTTCTACGGTGGGCACGGCCCCCAGCCCAGGCAGCCAGGCCCAGCCACTAGCAATGACACAGTGCCTTCGCTGGGATGTGTGGGCCACTGCACATATGTAAATATGTAAAATGAAAGCACAACCCAGAGAAGAGGGCAGCCGCATGGGACAGTTACGTACATGGTGATCTTGACCGAGGAGGTGGCATTGCTGCTCACAAAGCTGATCTCAATGCTGGTGTCCTTTTTTCTCGGATTCTGCAAGTAAAACTCCACAACGCTGTGATGCACTAGGAAACCAAAACACAGCAGAGACGGGGCTGGGGCAGAGATCAGTGAGCGGAGAGCCTCATCCCAGCTCTACCTCGTGGTAGCCTGTACCCCAAGGAAATCATCTACCGTCCCTGAGCCTCAGTCTCCCAAGGGCATGGTGGGATAAACAGATAGGTATCCACAGGTCAGATGGGGAATGAAGAGGGCTTAAAGAGGTTCTCAGGACAGTGCCGGGGCCTAGGAAGCATTCAGGATTGGTTTATTAGTTGTAGTGCTTGAACGTTTCAGTCTTCTCTGTCTGGTGACCTTGTCGTGGTGATGTAATCTTCAAAAAACTGAAAAGGGCCAGGAGTGGTAGCGCATGCCTATAATACCAGCAAGAGGGAGGCTGAGGCAGGAGGATCGTTGTAAGTTGGAGACCAGCCTGGGCTACAAAGTGAGCTCAAGGACAGCCTGAACTGCATAGCGAGACCCTGTCTCAAAAAGACAAAAAAGAAAGACGAAAAGGATCTACCATATACTACTGCTGTTTGAATGTTTGTTCTCTTCCAAATGTCACGTTTAAACTTAGTGCTCCATGCAGCAGTACTAAGACCTGGGGACTTTGGGGAAGCGATTAAGTTGGAGCTTTCATTAGTAGATTGAAATTTGTAAAAGGACTCCCTAGCATTAGCTACAGCCCTTTCTGCCTTTCTGCCATGTGATGACAGAGGGACACAGCAACAAGTGCCAGCCTGAAGCAAAAAGAACAGCCTCATTGACACCAGGCACCATTGACCTTGGACTGCCCAGTCTCCATAGCTATAGGAAAATAAATTTCAGCTCTTTAGAAATTACGCACTGTCCAGTATTTGCTATAGTAACACAAGCACACTAAGACATACACAAAATAATGAACTCACAGAAGGTACCAGTGCCCCACCTCCCCTGCCCACGTACACAGTATCAGGGGCCTGAGCTATGTGTATGTAAAGGCCAGTCCCCTCCTGGGCCAGCCGATTGCCTGTGTGGCCTCTGGACTGTCCTCTGAGCAGTGTGATGCTGGACCTCTCAAAGTGGGTCTCAACACAGCCTGGCTCACGGTGATTCCCCCAGGACCTGCTGTCCCTCTGGCTGGAGAGGCGAAGAAAGCCGGACATGGTGGTGTATGCCTGTAATCTCAGCACTCAGGGAAGCTGAGGCAAGGGGACTGCAAGTTCAAGGCCAGCCTGGGCAACTTAGTGACTTAGTGAGACCTTGTCTCAAGAATATAACACAGGCTGGGGATATAGCTCAGTGTGAAGGCCCTGGGTTCAATCCGTGGTACAGACGGGGAGGGAGGAACACACCTTCCCTAACACCCTATCCTTCCTCCAGCAAGCGGTAAATACACCTGGTGGAATTTGCAGTAGTTTTGGTCTCAGAACATTTTCCCAGGCTCCTTGAGTGATGGAGACATAGCTAGAGACACAATCCTCCACTTCCTTTCTCTCTGCACTGTGGCATTTGTCATACTTCCCGGGTGACATCAGCGGTACAGATAGACTCAGCGTGAAGCTGGATGGGCGCTGTGGTCCATCTGGGCTCACTGGGGTTAGTAACATGACTCACTGATGGGGCCAAGACGCCCAGGACTCACAGGAAGAGACAGCCTTATGTACTCCCTCCCCCAGAGAACAAAGCGTCAGATGTCTCCCTGCCCCGTCTCTGTCTCTGCCTGTCTCTCTGTCTCCGTCTCTCTCTCTTTCTCTCTCTCTCAACTCTGTACTACGGGGTGTCGATTATTCTGGGTTGGGCAAGATCTGAACTGGGACAGATATTTGCAATGTGGAAAAAACGCCTAACTTCAAAAGGCTTTAGGCATTTAAGTCTCCGGGCTGACTTGATGTCACATTTTCCTTTGCTGACTGACTGGGTCAAGAAACTTTCCTAAGCTTTTGCTTCCCTTTTCTCTACACTGCCCTGGAAACTCCAGAGAGCCAGGCCTGACACTGTGTGACGGGAAGTGGTAGTGAAATCAAATCCGCACGGCGGTGTGACTCGGGTAGAGTCCTGGGTAGTTAGTCCGGCCCAGCTTGCTGCCACAAGGTGGGCCCCCACGCTCATGCCCCGACCCCTCTGTGTGCCCCACGTCCTTCCTGTGAGCAAGAACCCCAGCGTCTCCCTACGGGAGGTGGCGAGGATGCAGGGGTCGTGGAGAGAAGGCACTGCGTGAACAACTGCTCCTCAAGGGAAAAGTAATATTGTGCAAAAGTCTTATTTGGTGGGAGATCTGGCTCGCGCCCGGCAGAAATCAAGGGCGACCGCTGTCCTCCTGAGCGCTGCCGAGGTCAGCGCGGGCCAAGAGTCTGCACAGCGGCCTGGCACAGCTGGGGAGCGCGCCCACCGACCGCTCGCCTGAGCGCACCCGGGTGGGTGCCCAGACGCGGTGCTGGGAGGGCAGCCCCTGGCACCCTGGAGTGGAAGGGCAAGCAGCTCCTCCCCTGCCTCCGCTGTTTCTGAGCCAGTAGGACCCCGTTTCCGGCCTGTGGAGAGGCGGCCTCAGGACACATATGAAACAGAAAAATCACGGGTCTGTGACTCTCCCTCTAGGGAGATCTCAGAACGCTTTTACCCCACAGCTTGCCGCGCACCAAGCCAGCTGAGGTTGCGGCAAACCTGCTGGAAGCTGGCTGAGAGACCCGGATGTTGGTCCCTCCGTGCCTCTTCCGCCTCATACCACATCCTCCCTGTGTTGATCTTCAACGGGGGGCGCTGGCAGGGCAGTGGGCAAGGAACAGGCCCGTGGCCGCAGGCCCGTGGCTCTCAGGGAGCAGAGCAAGTTCGGTGGCGCATGCCTGTAATCCCAGCACCCTAGGAGGCTGAGGCAGGAGGATCCCAAATTTAATGACTTACTGACACCGGGTCTCAAAATGCAAAATAAAAGAGGGCCGGAGATGTAGCTCCGTATAAAGGCCCTGGGTTCAATCCCCAGTATCGGGAAAAATAAATAAGTGGGCGCACAGAAGCAAGAGTGGGGACAGGAGGTACCATGGAAAGGGCAGGGATGTCGGAGTCAGGAGCCCTGGAGCGAAATCTTGACTTTTCCACCCAGCAGCGTCCTTGGGTCTGTCACTGGATCCCTCGCCTGTCTTCACCCTTCCTTCCTCTCAGAGCTGGGCTGTCCCACCGCTGTTCCCATACCCACTCTGTCCCCCAGGGGACCTGGCATTCTTTCTGGCAGGAAGGGAGAACCACCCCCACCTGTGCTAAATCCTCTGACTGACCAAGGGCAGGGGATGATTACTGACTGGGCTCTGTTCGCTGTGCCAGAGATTTGCTGGATACTATTTTATCCTCACAGTGGATTCTTGTAAATCCTGTTATTGTTCTCATGTTTCACAAAAAAGTTTAAGTAATTTAAACTCGCACAGCTGGTAAGTAGTGGAGCTGAGATTCAAGTCCGAGTCTGTATGCCTGGTGTCTATCCAGGGCCTTTAGGTAGACCCGCTGTGGGGTATCTCCGACCCCTTCAGCCTGAAGAAGCCAGATCGGTCACTGCCCGTTGCTCCCTCACAGCAGTTCGGAGTGCTTCTCCAGAGACAGGAATGTTAGAGACAGCTAAGTTAGGTAGAAATGTTATTGCAGGCAGTCAGACAGGGCTGGGCCCTCGAAGGAGCCAGTGCAGAAGAAGAGACACCACGCAACTGTGGGGCAGACAGGCACGTCTGCTGAGGGCCAGACCTCAAGACAAAACATGAAACCAATGCACCTGCATACTTCCCTAAGAGTAAACAATAGTGGTCCATATGCTAACCAGGTATTGATCGCCTTGGGAAAGCCAGGAAGAGCCACTGACCCGTCCCTCGCAGGAAGATCCCCTGTTCTGTCATGCCCGCTTACTACGTGACTTGCTTCCCCATTTGATTCCAATTTAATCGATTTTACCTGAGCAATTATGCTCATAAAATCTTGTTGGTTGACCATAGTTTTGTCCCATTTCATGCCCACTTTGTGATTTCCCATTTTTCCCCACCTTGGACCTGCCTTACCTCGTGGTTTTGCTCTATAAAAATCCCTAAGAAAGGCAGTGTCCTTGGCAATCCACTTGGGACCCCTTCTGTCTGTCTGTCTGTCTCTCTCTGTCTCTCTCTGACAGAAGCTTTCTTTCCCCAACGAACACATTTTGCTCTTAAAAAAAAAAAAAATCCATGTCTGTGGGACACAGAATTTCAGTCCTGGGCTTCATAGCACATTGCCCTGGGCCTTCCAGTAACAGGGAGACGTAGCCACAAAGCCCTGTGCACACCTGACCCAAGCTGATCAGAAGGTCAGCTAAAATTAGGGCGGCCACAAGCTACCATCCTCACCCACATACTTGTGTCCTATGCATACCACACAGCAGACAGGAGGAGCTCGAGACCACAGGCACACAGCAGGAGAACAGCTACCCTCATCCACCTTGGTCAGGACACAGACAGCTGCGGGGAGGACCATGGCCCAGCTCACGGCGTGTCCCTTGGACTCTGTGAGAGACTTTGCTCTCCCCTGTTACATCTTTTACAATCACCGGTGTCTTAGCTTCAAAGAAATGCAGTGGTGACAGCAGTGAATGCCTGGAGAGCATCTGTGAAGGGGAGGGCACGCATCCCTCGGTGACCCCGGCCCAGGGCAGTGCAGGTGGGGACATGTGTGGGCACCAAGGAGGGGCAAAGAGGCATGCAGGAGAGAGGGAGCCACAGTCTCTCCCAAATACCACTCTAGAAGAATCCCCAAGCTGCCCCCAAGTTCCCATCGGTAGAGCCATTGATTGGACTCACTCGTACAGTCCTGGTGCTGTCTGAGAGCAGGAGCTGTTCACCACCTCTCTGGGTATCTTCACCCCAGGCCTTCACCTCCCACATGGGCTCCCACACTGGGCTGGAAACAGCTCAAGCCAGCCCCTGGGCTCTTCTGGCCAGCGACTGGCAGGGCTGAGCCCGTGCACAGCCCGACTCACCACAATACGGGGCCTTAGAAGTGGTCCGCAGGTAGACTCTTACTTCCTTGGGAAGCGGCTCTATCTTAACACCACCTTGTTCCACCAGCCCTGGGAATAAAGAAGCAAAGATAGCAGAGTCCTGAGGAGGCCTGTTCGGGGCCCCACAGCACCCAGCCACCAGCTGATTAATTCAGCACCCACTCTTCTATGGGCATCCACACTGTGTGCTCATTACTGCCCATGCTCGGAGGTGAGTCCCAGGACCCAAGCAGCCCAGTGGGGATAAACACACAAGTAAGCAGCAGATATGTTCTTCAGAACACAGGGCCCATTCTCCATAGATAATCACAAGAAATTTAAAATCACGTCTCTAACTTGCAAACAGTTGTTTCAGTGGCATTTGTTTCCAGTGAAACAGGAAAGTTTGACCTGAAGATTAGAGGATGGCAGTCCAAAGAGGGCATCTGGGACAGACAGCAGCTAGGGCAAAGGCCCATAGGATGAAGAAACATGATGCACTCCTGGCAGTGCATGCGTTGGCATCCCCAGGTATTCAGTGCGAGGGAAGCAGGGAGAGAGATGCCACTGGCAGAGGATGTGCAGCAGCTGTCTCATCAGCTGGTCCGCCACATCCGGGGGACGCACGCCATATACCCCCTGGGTAGGGAATAAAGTTGCCTCATTTTGCTATGGGAAGCTACCTTTCCTTTAGCATCTTGTCAAGCTGGTACCCATGTCATCGTATGAGCAGTGACAAGCTGCTGTCTTTCTGAGTGGAAGCCAGGGGTGGTGAGAAAAAGGAATGCAGGGGAAGAGGGAGGAGTGATTTTCACCACTTAGGAGTTTTTTCTTGGAGTTTTCCATCCCAGGATATTCATAGCAATGACCTGCGCAGGTGAGTTAGAGGCCAGATCCCTCAGCCATCCTGGAGCCTTTTCCCCAGACCAGCGTGGATCACCCTGGAATGTGCACAAGCTGCCTAGCATTTTAGGCCACCGGGAGTGCACTCCTTTAAAGTGGGTGGCTTGGTGCACCACTCTGGGCAGTCCTCAGGGCAGAGCTGAGATGAGGGATGGTGGACCCAGCTAGCATTTGAGGGATGGTGGACCCAGCTAGCAAGACCCTTGCATGCATATGGGCCAAGGGTGGGCAGAGGCTCTGGACCTCCCCAGGTTTCTACAGAGCACCTGCAGTGGGACTTCTGGGAGAGAGGCTGAAAGGGGAAGGGTAAGAGCAAAGCAGAGGTGGCCACAGGGCACAGTGTAGAGAGAGGGGAGAGGCAGGAAAGCGACAGCGCCTGGCACTTCCAGTGAGAGCAGGCTGAGCACCTCACCAGTTAATTTTTGTTTTCCCCTGTTGACTAGACCTCTTGACCACAAGAGACCGAGACATAAAGAGGTGGCAACTGACAGACTTGAACTTTCCCCAAATTATCAAAAGGAGCCGAAAGAGTTATATTTTACCTATCCTTGGACAGGAAAACAAAAAGGGGTTAAAGCAATCCAGACAGTGTCCAGCCAGGAAGGACTTGTAGTTGGCACAGGGAAAGGCCACCAAGGGACAGGAATTCTCCAGAGCACTGATGTAGAGGTGGACAGCCCTCATGTGATCACAGATCAGATAGCTGTAACCTGAGCAGGGGAAGAAAACCACAACCAAGGTTTCAGTCAGGACCCATGGAAACTCCCTCCTGCTATTTACTGTAACTTTGCTGAACTTTTTATCCCAGAAGGTTATAAATACACTGGGTGTCCCCTAAGCCATGTTTTAAAAATATGAACAGACGTGGTTGTTATATTCTCCCCTTCCCTTTGAACATTCCCGAGATATGTAAACTCCAGGGAGATGACCGGGTTGGAGCTCCATTCTGTGTGATTGTGCAAAGTCTCTTTCACAAAATGGGATCAGACAGAGAACTGGGGGAACTGGGGACGCAGACTCCATTTCCGGAAACGGTTCTCTGCCTGCACAGTTTTATCTTCATCACCCACACAGCCAATCATTTCACTCCTTCATTATGCCCAGCCCAGCAATGAGGTCACAGTCAGTTTGCAGATCAATGATGCAATGAATTTACCAAATTTACCAAATGCAATGAATTTACCCTAATTTTCCTAAAGCTCAATTTTGTTGTTTTTTACTACTTAAAAGGGTATAGTGACCCATGCTGGGTGGGTTGCTGGGGCTGAGAGGGAAGTAGTAAGCTGCAATTCCATAGGTTGGGCTCTTCAGATTCCCTGTGTGTCCTGGGACCCTCTCTCTGGGACTGGCAGTGAGGGCTGAGCTGAGTATTCCCTTCTTTCCTCTGTGGAAGGGACACTTCCTACCGCTGAGTTCATCCCAGCAGCATGGCGAAACTGAGGCAGGGACAAACTACACCCTCCTCAAATTAGGTTATGAAGAAGATATGAAAACTGGTCAACTACAATATACCACATGCGTGTTCCAAAGCTGCCGAAATCAAACGGTCCCATGTGATCAGAATGGCTGAACATTTTATTAAATTGTTAAAAGAAGCATATATTTGGAAAACTAGTAAATCTGGTAAAGTATACTAGTGATTTTTCAATAAATTGTCAAAGGAATCCTTAACACGTTAAGAATTTGGCAAAGCAGGAAAAACACTAAAAACATACTAAATCGAAATCCCCATTTAAAATTTTCCACATGAAATGCAGATATACTGTTTACAGTCATAAACAAAATATAAGAAAGCTAAACAATTCTTAATGTTTAGCTTTTGACAAATTTAATATTATTTAAATTAACACTATGATGAATATATTTTCTCTTTTTTGGTATAATTTAGATATAAATAATGATCACATTCATCATAGTGAACTTGTACCTGTACATGATATATCTTGCTTCTTTTTTCCCCATTCCCCTCCCCTCCCTTCAGCTGCTCTTCCTCTCTTTATTTACAAAAGCTTTGTCCCCTTTTATTTCCTTCTTTTCTTTTTTCTCCCATTTCCCCTCGTCATTTGAACATTTTCTTCCCATTTCCCAATATCTGTTAAACATTTTCGTCCTTATTTACACTTTCAGTTTCTCACACCAGAGAAATAATGCAGTATTTAAACATGTGTGTTCAATTTATTTCACGTAAGGGTATGGTCTCAAGATGTATCCATCTAGCTAGAAACGTCTTAAGTTCATCCTACTTTATGGCAGAGTAATACATTGTTGCATTAAAAAACCTTTTATCCATTCATATATTCAAAGAAGACATCTCAGAAGAATATATTTAGAAAAGAAGAAATATATATTCACTGAATGCATGCAAGAAGGTTATCTTGAAGACACTTGTGAGGAGCTGACAGGGTTAGTAAGTTTAGTGGCATGGGCATGCAGTGAGCTGCCCCTTTGATTAGCTAGCATGGGGCTCACTGGCTTGCTTCTGCCACAGCCATGCTCTGTAGAGGATGCTACTAGTGTGGGCTCTGCCACGAATCAGAGCCCAGCGAAAGATAAGAGATCATTGGTTTGAGTGATAGCAAGACCTAGCTTAAGTGGGGAGGGCAGCACAAACAGGACACGGGCTTCCGATATCAGGTACTCTCTGAAATGCATGGGCTCCAGAGATAGTAAGTTTTGAGTAAGGCATCACAGGACGAGCAAGGCGTGCTGCTGGGAAGACCCTCCGTGGCCCACACTGATTCAACACGCTGGTGAATTCCAGTCTGTGGGGCAGGCAAACGCCAACTCTCTGGCTTTCTCACCTGCATGAATAAACAGGGGACAGCCCGGCTGGTCCTGGCCTCCGTTGACAAAGTAGTCCACGTGGCCCACTGGAATCCGAATACCCAAATCTGGAAGAGGGAGCGCACCATTAACATCTTACTCCAAGGGCCACTGGCAGCCGAGGCCAGCCCATAGGCGTCACCTCACTCCCAAGGGCTGTGAGACTGCAAGGTGCACCAGGCCGAGAGGAACCAGGGGAGAGTCCATCCACAAGATACTCATATTTGCTTAATAAAACCTAGAAAATGTCCCTTGGCACAGGTGTATACAAATCAGTAAATGTTATAAATGTATTTCTTGGTGGACAACTTGTTTTCCTTTCATAGTTCAGATTAATACAGCTGGGGCCATATTTCCACGATGTCCCACAAACCACACTTTTGTGCTCTCCTGACTGATGTGGCTACAAAGAGCTGAATGTAAGAGAAAGGCTGCAGCCCTCATTTCGTCCCTGTGGCTACGTCCCAGGCGCTCCTACAACGGCATATCTGCACCCTCAGAGGAGGCCAGGCCCAACTGCCAAAGGCTGTGATGTTCTCTTTCACATAATCTCCCACTGTTGTACAAACCACTGGTTACGTGCTGTTGTTTGCCGTCTACCCAAGGGGTGCCCAGTCATCCTGGATTCCTGCCTTTTCCTCACTCACCTTCTCAGTCCATTACAAGTCTGGGCAGTTCTTCCTCTGGCTACAGATGCAATTTTTCTACTTCTGTTTTTTACTGCCGCCACCTCCGCCAAAGCCACCAATGCCTCACCTAGATTGCTACTGAAAATACCCTGTAACAGGCCTCCGGGCTTCCCAGAGTGACCTCCACTGTCTGCATCAGAGTTGCACCTGTCCTTTAAGGAGAAATCTGCTGGTGATTTCTTTAGATGTGCAGAAACTTTTCAGTAGGATGAGATCCCAGTTGTTGATTCTTTTAAGTGTTTCACGTGCAGTTTGGTTTTTGTTCATGAACTCTCTGCCTACCCCTATATCTTCAAGGTTTTTACCTACTTTCTCTTCCAATAGATTTAGTGTTTCTGTTTTAATATTGAGATCTGTGAACCATGTTTCTATCTGTTTTCATGAGAAACCATTTTGAAGATATCCATATGTAATACAACAAGGATTGTTAATTTCCTACCACTTTGTTTGTAACTCTGTATTGTCTGTACTGTTCTTTTGCTATTTTGTAAAAGGTTGTCTGTTAATGTTTTCCTCCTTTTATTTTTAAAATTAAAAACAAAGAGAGAGAGAGAAATCTGGCCAGGCATAGTGCTACAAACCCTAAATCCCGGAAATCTGGGAGGTAGAGGCAGGATCATCATACATTCGAGCCCTGGGTAACTTAGCGATTTAGTAAGACTGTCTCAAAATTTAAAAGGTCTGGGGATAGGGGGTAAGCTCCTTGTCACAGGCAGCCTGGACTGGCTCCCTCTGCTCTATACCTCTTCTTCCCTGGAAGCACTCTCACCGTACAGTTCTCTTTCCCGTCTCTGAAGCAAGTCAAATCCTCTCCCACATGCAGGCCTTCGTGGGGCGGTCCTCTCTACCTGAAATGCTCTTCTCCCAGAGCTGAAATCCTCATCCCCTACATCTCGCTTTTTTGGACGCACATTCCCTAATAATCCTCTGTGAAGTGGATCCCACACCCAAGTCCCTCTCACCTGTCCTTCATCACAATAATCATTATGTGTAATGATCTTGCGTATTTACTCCGATATAAGCTCCACCACCACAGGCCTTTGCCTGTCTTTTTTTTCTGCTGGGTCCTCAGCACCTAGCAGAGTCTCTGGCTCAGAGTGAGCACTTATGAAAGTTACGGAATGACGGGTGAGTGTGTGTGCCACGTGGTCAGGGACTTTCTCTGAGTCCTTGTTCGCTGCTGTGTTCTCAGTGCTGGCTACACAGCTCACTAAAGATTGCCCGAATGGAATTATTTTTTTCAGTACCATCTGGAAGACCCTCCAACTTTGAAGGGTCTGAGAGGCCTCTCTCAGGTAACTAGGGACGCTATTTAGCAAAATAGGGTGATGCAATACGCTGGTGAATTCCAGTCTGTGGGGAAGGCAAACGCCAACTCTCGGGGACTCTATTTAGCAAACGTGGGGGCGGAAGGCATTCATTCCTGTTATTAATGAACAGTTAATTCCCGAACATAGCCAGATAGAGTGTCACAGACTTTGTTTTCCTACCGGTGTCATGAAGGTGGGAAAAGGATTAGACAATGTGACCATGTGGGTTTCTCCAGGAATCACACATCTTGGGGTGTTGGATACTAAAGAAAGGCTTTTGGCACATGGGAATGAGACGTGGACACCTCTCATGGAACTGCAAGCTAAGGGTTGGGAGTGTAGCCCCATGGTAAAGCACTTGAACTGCAAGCTCTTCTGGTCAGGGATAGACATTTCTCCTTGCTCCACGGACACGGAGCCCGGTGCCTGAGCCCAGACTCTGTTGGCATCTTATACCCAGTAGAAATGAGGAGGGTTGGCCGACTCCTTTCCCAGTTGTGCAGAAGGGCTTGATTTTCTCAACAGATCTGAGAGTTCAGGGGTCTTTCCTGGGCCTATCATTATTGGGAAGGGGATTCTTGTTCTCCACTGGACTGAGTCTGTCCTCCGGGGAGGAGGAAAGTCCTGATGGGCTCATGTGCCTGAGGAGCGAGCGGAACGTCCCAGTCCCCAGGGCCGGCACACTTGGCCCAGAACAGCAGCATGGCTTTCCTGTAAGTCAGCCAGGCAGCAGTGTCGCTCACCCTAGCCCCACCTCAGCACAAGGTTTGGTGTTGAGTCAGAGAGTTAGAGACCCAACAAACAATTTGGGTCCAATAGTGAGAATCCTGCTGCCTACCGGTGGCTAAAACAAAACCCTTTCATCTCGGTGGCCACAGAATGACCACCAGCAGAGACTTTCAAGATCATCCTGGGAAATTCCTCCCTGCACAACACAGCATAAAAGGGACAGGGCCTCAGCGCCAGACTGCAGCTCGAGATCCCAGCTCACTGTCAGTGTCTGTATGGATGGCTTCCACGAAGAGAGCGTCTCCAGGATCCAAGCGCTCCTCCAGGCTGGCCCTGGTGTACTCCGGTCCCGCGGGGTCCAGGCCTGCAAGGACAGACTGGTGTAGAAGCCCCCTTTCTTCACAGCTGCAGGAGCCACTGTGGATCTACCACAGACCTACCTGGGCCCCTCCAGTTGTGACCAGAATTCTACGAGGACTATGCACTGGGAGAACTAACCCATCTTACCCAAGAAACTTTACTCTCTTGAGGTAGCCTCTCAATGATCCAGTGTTTCTGGCTGTAAAATGAGTCTGACAATACCAACCATGTGGCAAAGGCTGCATGTGAACAATATTTACCTTCAGGGCCAACTGGGTATCATTCCATAGGGGTCTATCTGAGGGATTCTATAGAACAGAAATCAGAATTGCCCCCTGAAGGGCTGGGAAGCTGGGGTATTTACCACATAACCTTAGTTCCTTGTTGATTAAGAGAGACTCCTGACACATGAAGTCCCCACACCTTCACAGGTATTTAACAAAATTGTGTGAAGGTGATGTCCACAGTGGGCCAAAGAGATATGGGCTACGTCAACCTGTTTTAGAGATGTAGACACTGAGACTCAGAAAGAAATACATGGTACTGATATTAGAGATCATGCAATGATAACATAGTACTGTTTTAGGCAAAAAGGACCACAATAAATAAATCACACTGGCAATAGATGACTCAGTAATAAGAACAAAAACTCAACACACCCCCTGCTCACATCAGAAGAGGTATTTCCAGGGCAATCACTCTCTACTTCTAAACCCTGGGAGAAAGAGCAGGGAGCAAGGTTACCTGTGATCCGTCCCAGCTGGCCTTTGTAGAACTGTCCCACCATGCCCCCAACGTGAGCTCCTAGGCTGACACCAATGATGTGGATTGAGGACTCCGACACACCCAGCTCCTGGAATAGCATTGACAGTGACTTCATTTGACCGCAGTGGCTTTTCCCTGGGACTTCAGAAGCTGAGAGCCCTGGGCACAATACACCCACCAGACAGATTTAGAATAAAGGGCAGACCTCCCAGCCATTAATCACTTAGGCCCCCCACACTGACAATCCCCTCAAAGTCTGTGAGTAATGACCAGGGTCATTTCCTTTTGAGGATCTACTAAATGCCAGCCAGCCTGCACTCACTGTGCAGTGGTGCATCTTATAGACGAGGAGTGAAGCTTCCTTCAGCACCCTACCAATGTCAGCACTCCAAATGGCCAACTCAGGGTTTGAGCCAAAGCCTAACAAACCTCTGGAGGTCTCTGCCTCAGTCCCCCACCTCCTTGGGGCATACTTTTTCCTCCTGACCTTCATGCATTCACAAGTGGCCAAAGTCACCCTGAGCTCTTCTGCACCTACCAGGAGTTTATTGAGGAAACGGGAGATCTCTAGGCTCAGCTTAACCACATTATCCACAGCTGAGTAGTAGACGCCTGTAGATCCGTAAACCCAATCCACAGCAATGACGTTAGCATCTGCTGCCCTCAGAAGGGCTCTAATGAATCCATCGATCCAGGAAGGCTTTGTTCCTAAAGCCCTAGACATGGGTCAAAAAATGAAGAGGAAAATTACCCACTGAGCTGATATTCATTGCCATGGAAACCTCCATTAGTCTCAGATCCAGAGAAGAAGTCAAAACCAAGGAGAGGGGATGCGGGGAGTGGATGTCAATCACACAGTGCTGTGAACACAGGGTGGACGTAAGTCCAGAGTCGCCAAGCCTTCACCAGCACACATGGAGCCTCTGAAAATTATAAGGCTGCTGTCCGTTCCCAGCAGACCGTGGTCTCATACCAGCACTAGGGTTGGATTTTACCCTACTTACCTTCATCAACCACCTTTGTGCAGTGTCTACATTACGTAAGCCATATGTTCCGTCTTGCCTATGTGTGTGTTATTTGTGGAAAAGAAAATAGTTTTCACCTTAAAGTTAGGAATTGCAGTCCTAAATCCCATTCTAGAACGTAGGCTCTTCCCTTAGGGATCTTCATTCATTCATTCGACATTCATTCATTCACACATCCATTCATTCGACAAATACTTCCTGAGTACTTGTAAGGCATGCAGTGTGCTAGGTGTTTTCCAAGAAATAAAGGCAATAAAATATAGTCCCTATTTTTTGGGAACTTATAGTATAATGAAATTTTGCTAGAAAAGGAATGGTAGAAATTTGTTCAGGAAGCTTTCCCAACAGACTGAGGCCAGGAAAGAAGTTTTTCCGGTAACTCCCCCAATAGGAACCGTGCGAACCTGTTCACACGGCCAGAGAAGTGCAGACTGGGTGTGTGCTGTGGGACGTGGTTTTGGGGGATTTAGCAGCAGAGCAAGCAGCACAAGCCTGTTGAGCTCTTAAGTCGCTATCCCTGGTTGGAGTGCACACTCAGCTTTGTGTTTTGGCTGAATGGAAGACTTGCTAGAGAATTTGAGTATGTGTTTGAATGTGAGAATTAAAGAGACAGAGAGAGGTCAAAAAGATCAGAAAGTGGTGAACACTGGCAGTGCCTGTGGCCTCCCCTGTAACTCTAACTGCTGTGTGGTGCCGTGATTCCACCAAAGCCACGCCCTCTTTCATCCCAGAAATCTTCTTGTGTTTTTGGTCTTGTTTGTGAGTTTTGGGGGACAAATATTTGAAGGAATGATGGTGATGGAAATGAAACCTGGTGACTATATATTATAACAAAATTTGCACTGTAGAGTGTCAGAAATTGCAGAAGTAGCATGCCTAGCTCCTGAGAAATGTTGATCTCTGAGTACAATGGAAGTAGCAGCCTGAATAGAAATTTATCAGGTCGTGAAACCAGGGAAGAAATACAAAAGAGGAAATAAAATGCTGAGTGAAAACAGGCTGCTTCTTCTGAGTAACTGCAAAAAGCCTGTGATTGTATTGCCTGAGATGAGTCACGCCATGGAACTCATACACCCTGGGTAGCAGCGTGGTATTTGTGTTCATTCTTTCCCATTGTTGGATGCAATACCCAACACCCACAGCTTAAAGGAAGAGAGGTTTAATTATTTATGCACAGTTTCAGTCAATGATTGCCTGATTCCGAGGCAGAAACCCCATGGTGGAATGACATGGAAAAGCAAACCTGCTCATTTCATGGTGGCCAGGAGGCAGCGCAGGGGACAGTGACAGCAGAGCGGAGACCAGGGACCAGAGACAGACCCCAAGGCCTCACCTCCATGGCCCACACGAAGAAGTGTGCTCCACCAATCCTCAGGGTGGATCCCAAGGCCAATCAAGTTGAAATTCCACCCTCCCCACCACAGTGTTTTTACCCAGGGACCACTAGACCATCCCTCCTACGTCCTCTTTAACTCAGATGTGGGAATTGAAGATCCGTGTTTCGCATAATCTATCCAGGGTCATACACGTGTCCTGTGTGTGAGTATGTGGACAAGACTGAGCAGAGTAACGTACACGACCAACAAGGATAAGCAACATAATACATGTCCAGGATTACCCAAGGCACCTCCAAGACAGCAGGCCGTGAGGGCTGGAGCATGTGAGAGCCAGTAAATCTGCTCCTCCTTTTGCTCTCCACCCACTTCCTGTGGCTTTATGGGCCCTCCCCACATGGTCATTACTCAAGGAGGTCCTATTGGTTGATCAGTTCCCACCTGAATCCATGAATAATTAGCTTGGTTCTGAGAGTGGCATTGAATCCAGAGTTTTGGATGTCACTGCTCTCTTCCAGTAGCTGCCCACAGCTAGGATCTGAAGGCACAAAGAGGAGATACTGGACTTTCAGGTTGGTCCCTCGGAGGAGGTTGGCATTCTGGAAGTCAGTGCATTTTGGCTGTGGGGTCGCAGGTACATCTCCTAGAGGAAAACAAAACAAAACAAAGTCATGTAGAATGAGGGCATCTGTTTTTAGAAGAAAGAAATATGCTCTTAGAAGGAAGGAACAGTGGCTTACAGCCATGGGCTTTATGAGAAATCAGCTAGGGCAGTGATGATGAATCTTTTAGAGGCGAGTGTCCAAACCGCAACCCCAAACCTGCTTATTTATCACAAAGTACCAACACTGAAGTTAAACCTGAATACTGAGCTTCTAGTTTAGAAAAACAACTCATAGGTTAACATCTCTGGTCTTAAAAGAAAAACGAATAATACCCGTGCCATAAGTTTGTCACCACAGAGCTAGTGCGATCATCACTCAGTCATAAAAGGTTCTATAACAAAAATGTGTGATTTTTTTAAGCCTAAGGATAAAATACCAGAGGGAAATATGGATATTGTTCAACTAGACGAGGCTAAAGGCCATGGTGCAATAGCTATTGTCTGGGGCTGAATGGAGTGCCCCTGAATGGTGAAAGTCCTAACCACTAATACCTCAGAATATGGCCAAAGTTGGAGAGAAAGTCTTTAAAATGTAATTAAGTTAAAATGAAGCCAGTAGGGTGGCCCTAATCCAATATGACCAATGTCTTTATAAAAAGAGAAAATCTGGACAGGTGTAGGGGAAAGACAATGGGAAGAGCCATAGGAAGAAGACAGCCACCGAAAAGCTATGGAGAAGCCCAAGACAGGTCTTTTCCTCATGGCCCTCAGAAGGAGATAGCTCTGCTAAGAGCACTGTCTCAGACTTACAACCCCCAGAACGAGGACATACAACAAATTTCTGTTGTTTAAGCCACCCAGTGTGTGGCACTTTGTGATGGCAGCCCTAGCAGAGTGAAAAAAGAAAAATATTCCTGGAGAGAACTCTGGGCAACCAAGCAAGCAGTTGCCCACGTCTGAAGAACCCACCCAAGGGTTTCAAACCCACTTCTCCACCCTAATCACTTCTTGTCTTTCCCAAGGGCCAAGCTAAGGCTCGGTGGGGCTGCCTAGCCCTCGAGTAGAAAAAGGCCTTAACAAGCTACAACTGCCCCATAGCACCTTACTACATACACACAGCAGGCCCTTACACCGGATTTTTTTCCCTCGTGGAAAGGCCTTTTAAAATAAGAAACAGAAAAAGAAGCAAACAAAGTTTCTTCCATAGAAGCTGAAAATCAGGCCCAATTCAATACCCGGCATTCTGCCCCCATGTTCATGTCTGTGATAAAGAAGTATGGAGTTCCTGATTCCCAGAACTTCTTACGGGAAGAGACTGGCAGAAGCAGCAAGCACACATCCTCATCACGGCACTGCTGGCATTCCCCTGGCATCAGCAACAAAGCGACTCACAGAAACAGTGGTCTGGAGGAGAGGTCCAGGTTGCAGACTTTGTTCTACGCAGGCCCCTTCACTGAGCAAGACAACAAGTTTTCTGCAATAGAAAACTGCTAATAGAGATAACTGGGGAGCATATACACAACATGGATGTGGGTCCAGCTACCATGGGATTGGTGGTAGGAATGGATTGTGGGAACCCAGCCCAGAGAGAATACCTTGTGCCGTCAGGCCTTCTGGAACACCACTGCCATCACTGCTTCTGGATCCCAGACCTTGTCCCCAACCCCTGGCATCGCTCTTCCAAGCACCCAGGTCTTGGACCCTCCTGGGATCAAGCCCAGTCCTAGCACAGACTCCTTGAGCTCCTCAGCTTACAATTGGAGCTCCCTAGTGTACGAGAGAGAAAGACACCTGCCTAGACAGTTTCATCTATCGTCTCCAGACTTTGCCTTTTAAAAAAAGGATGAAAAGTCTCTGGTTGAGCAGGAGATCTGAACCACATAAATTAGTAGATCTGCTCTGTTGGTTATACAGAAGAACCTGTCTCTATCAAGCAGAATTAAGAATCTCTTAAAATAGTGTCATATGTCACAAAGCAAGTGCTATGGTTTGGATATAAATTTGGGTGTTTCCTAAAGGTTCTTGTGCAAGTCTTGGTCCCCAAGTAGTGGTACTGGAAGGCACAGTGTGACATTTAAGAATATTCTTAAATGACTGAGGAATAACCTTCCAGGGGATTGTGGGGCCCATACACTCTCCTCTCTCAACTCCTGCCTTTTGAGGTGAATTTTTGCTTCCTGCACTCCTGCTGCCATGTGCCATCCAAATGAGAGGCCATGCCAATGAGGCTACTCATTTTAGACTTGAACCTTCAAAGCTGTGAGCTGAGTAACACTTTGCTTTTTAACATTAGTTGCCACAGATATTTCATTGTAGTAACACAAAGCTGACTTGTCCAGCAGGCTCCAACAGACATCAAAGAATCAGTATTATCTCAAAGATATTATCTAAATAAAATGTGATACAATTAGAAACCAATATCAGAGATTATTTACAAATATATTTGGAAATGTAACAACGTTCCTTTAGGCAATACATGGGTTAAAGAGTGATCACAAGGGAAAGAATATTAAAAACTAAGTTACAATAAGGACAATACATATCAAGATTTGTGTAAAGTGGTTAACAGCACTTGTGATACAAAAATGATTTCTTGGGAGTCCGGTGAGAAGTTAAGTGATTAGACCGAGACAGCTTTAGTGCTTGAGTTCCTACCTAAGAAAACCAAAAACCCACTCATAGAGAACAGTTACACCCTAGGAAAAGGAAACCTAAGCTTTACCAATCAGAAGTTGCCAACCAATCTCTAACTAGGGACATTAAGGCTACAGCACCACCGTAAACACTGATCAAGTATTTTCTTTCCTTGCTCCACACCCACCTTTTTTAGATGAGATATTCTTTCACTATATTTAGAATCAAAATATCCCTTAAAATATTTACATTTTACAGTAAAAAGGATAGCAAAACACAAGATCGTGTACAAGCTTAAGTACTCAAGTTTCTGAAGGACCAAAAAATGAAAAGAAAAGCAATGGATGTAGCTGTGTGTGACAGAGCTAAAAGCAAAAAGTAAAATTTGCAGGCTGCTTCAGGATGATATTTAAATAACTGCAAATGCTGTACCTTTCTCTGATTGCCTGCTGTGACTGCCCCATCTTTTAAGTTCTTGCTGTTGGTGGTTTGCAAAACGCTCGGTTCTGTCCGTTGGTGCAGAGTTCTCTGCACCAGAGCACGTCATCCCTGCATACAGAACCTAGCTACGGGAATTTAATATTTTTTAAAAGTTTTACATTGATGTATATTGAAAGATTTGCTTTATTAATATGCATTAAAGGCTTAGACATTTTGGTTTTTATTCCTTAACTGGTAAATATGATTAACTATGGAAAATACCACTTCTAGTGAGTATCTTTTACATAACGACTACTGGAGAGTAATGTGTGCTCGTAAGTTTTGAATTGCACTGTTTTTAAAGAAACTGTACAGAAGCAACAAAAAGCCAAGCAACTCCACCCACAACCTTTTAAAAGTTTTCCCCTTGCATCTCCTTGGTAAAGCCTGGAACTACTTTAGGAGCTGCCCAATTCATGAACCACTGTTAAAAAAAAAAACTGCTAACAGGGAAAATGTATAACTTTAAAAGCAAATATTAGATGAAAAAAGGGAAAGAATCAGATGAGGTAGATTAATCTTTTAATTTAGAAAAGAATGACACAAACTATATGCAATGGGACACACCTGTAATCCCAGCTACTCAGCTGGCTGAGGCAGGAGGATTGCAAACTCCAAGCCAGCCCGATAACTTAGCAAGACCTTATCTCAAAATGAAAAATAAAAAATGGACTATGGATGCACTCCGTGGGGGGAGGAGGGCAGTTGACCGTACACTGCAGGAGTCCTCTGCTTTATCCTGCTTTGCTTGCTCTGTTCCAGTCAGCTGCCCCCTCTCTTCACCTTCATCTGCTCCTGGCCTCTTCCCTGACTGTGCCTTCTGCCTGCCACACTTCCCCTGGGCATCTGCATGAGTAACCCCTTTCCCTCCTTCAGGTCTGCTCGTCAAGTGCCACTTTCTCTACTCTCACCACCCTATTTAAATTGAAACTTGCTCACACACCTCACTCCAATTCTCTCCATCTTTCTTACCTCTATCTCTTACTTGTGTAGCAATCATCAGTCTCTAACCTACTCTGGACCTTACTAATTTGTTGTACGTAGTGTTACTGATTCTAACCCCTCATTAGAATATACTTTCAAACAAGGCAAAGAATGTATCCATTTTGGTGAGTCTACTGCTTAGAACTGTGCCTCCCACGTATGATAAACTCTACAAGTTATTTTCCCCAAAACAATAACAAACTAGATGCATGTTTGATAAGATAGCTGAAGGAAAGAGGTCACAAGCAAACAATATCAGGAGTAAAAAGAAGTTATAAAAATAGATGTGGCAGATTTTTTTCAAGCTGTCAATGAACATGTGTACACCTACCCAGAAGATGGAAATATGGATATTTTCCTAAAGATGATAATTTACTAGAAAAGACTAACCAACCAAAACTGGGTCAAAAAGGAGAAAAAGTTAAAAATCATGTAACACAGTAGCATAAAGTGTTGAAAATAATAGTTTTATATCCATCCATCAAAAAACTCAATAGTTTAGACAGTTTAACAGAGAAGTTCTACTAACCCTTCACTCCTCAATCTACCCTTGTTCTAGAGAATAAAACAGGAGACAAACTAGCTCATTCTATGAGGTTAATCAAAATATCAAAACTACATAAAATATCAGCAAATTTAAATCCATTAGGATAACAAAAGCAAAAGGTATAAAAACATACCAAGGGCCAGCAGTTCAATCCATGAATAAAAAGATTTTTAATACTCAAAAATATTTTAAAATAAAAATCTTATGTTTATTTCCACAGATGCAATTTAAAAAAAAAAAAAAAGGGAAAAGACCGCCTGTTACCACTGCTTCTATTAAATGTTATCCTGAAGGTCTTAGTCCTAGCCAGTGAAACAATACAATGAAATGGAATAAAGTTATAGAATTTGACAAGCAAGAGAAAAATACTGCCAGTATGTGAAGACAATAAAAT